TCCGGGATATCTTCGGAATAGTGTCGGATGAGACTCGCTCTTGGATCGTTACTCACACTTGCGTGTGGCTCCAACGATGATGTGTACAGCTGCCCATAGAACCTCTCAATCTCACTCAAAATCTCAGGTGTCCCGGAAACGATGCTGCCACATTCTGTCTTCAGCTTTGACAGTTGGCTCTTTCTGGCAGACAGATCTCTGGCAAAGACTTTGGAGCCTTGGTTCCGCTCGATCGCTTCTTCAATACGAGCTGTATTGAAGTTGCGTAAGTCCCGCCGCATGCATTTGGAGATCTGTCTGTTCAGATGCCTGTATGCTGTCAAGTCTGTTGAAGAATGTAGCTTCATCTCCCGTCTAACAGCCATGAGATTAAGAGTGTGATCGGAGAGTTTTTGTGTTCTTCTGCGGCGGGTCTTGCAGAACTTAGCTCCAACCGCATGGACAGTTTCCACGAGCTTGTCATTCATATCGTCCACTTCATTGCAGTCTTCCAGGCACTGAAAACGGTTTTGTAACTCGAGCTGAAAGGTTTCGGGACTTTGGAACAGAGCACGAGGGGGACGGAGCGTTGACTTCATTAGACGAGACCTCTCCAACTTAACGTTTAGGTTCAGTGTGCCTCTAACCATTCGGTGATCGCTACCAGTTTTCACCCTCGCGATCACGGAGACATCACTGAACAGTTGTCGTCTGGTCGTCATAATGAAGTCAATCTCATTTTTTGTGGAACCGTCGGGGCTCGACCAGGTCCACTTCCTGTGGGGCCGCTTCTGGAAGAAAGAGTTCATCATAAAGAGTCCCTCTTTCTCCATGAAGTCGGCCAGCTGCTGGCCCCTTGGGTTCCGTTGCCCTATTCCAAATTTCCCTACTTTCAGCTCACCGTTCTCTCTTGTGCCTAGTTTTGCATTGAAGTCTCCCATTAACACCGTATATTGGGTTTTGGAGGAATGCATGGCTCTAGAAATATCCTCATACATTTCCTCCACCTCCCCATCGGGGTGTGCCGAGGTTGGTGCGTAAACCTGTATGACCTTCAGCGAATACCGTTTGGTGATTCTGAGTATAAGGTACGCAACCCTCGTCGACACACTCCCGATCTTTACAACGTTGTTAACGAGAGACTTGTAGACGATAAATCCGACACCTCCTTGGGACAGATGGTCGCCCTCCCGGTGATAGAGCAAGTTGCCGGATTCGAGGATTACCGTGTCCTCCCCCTCTCTTCGGACTTCGGATAATCCTATAATATGCCAGCGCAACTTGTCTATCTCTTCTTCCAGCTCCACGATCTTCTCGTCAGTCCTCAGGGTGCGTGCGTTGTACGTTGCCAGGTCGAGTCGTTGTAGGTGGCAACCGAACCTCCACCGGAGATTCTTAGCACCCCCTGCCCCGCCGTTACCATGGTCGCCACCGTAGCCAGGAATAGCGGGGCCGCCGGGGACTGGGGGCCGTCTCTTTGTTACATTCATAGGGGGGTATTTGCCATAGTTGCCACGCTTGGCGAGCGGGTTGGCAACCGCAGTTTTTTTATTATAATTTTGGCTATTATCAGGAAGATGCTGCTGCCCATCTCCTGCCTGTTTCCCTTTGTCGCCTTTTACGACACCCACGGGAGGATATGGGGTAGTGGTATTCTTGACCGCCACTACACGGCATATGAAAGGAAATTATGAATGAATAAAAAAAAGATAAAATATAGGCCACTGCTAAATATACCTAAGCTTTTGTCATATCCCATTTGTTTTATTATGATAAGTTAACTGGGTTTTAAATGCGATTGAGGACTGAAAGTGAAAATCGCATTGGTTTAACATTAAGAGAAGTCCTTTTTACTTGAGCTTTGAAAAGATTGATGACGTCGAAATACTGACGACAGCGAGAAGTGAAATATTAAATCAATGTTGTCCGTCCATTAATGCTTCACAAATGACAGGGTGGAAAATCCTACGATGGAAGAACCACACAAGGAATTTTGAGTAATATAATCGAGAGGTTTCAATGTTATATTAAAGTGAATGATTGGGTAATGAGTGTTTAAACATAAAAATTATGATATGAACGATGTTATCCGAAGAGCTCTTATCCCTATAAATGTTCCCCCGGTTTAAGAGCCATGTGGAATATTTAGAGACGATGAAAGGAGACCCAATGGTATGGTATAGATTTGGTCCCTTGGGAGGAAAATCCTAGTCTGGGAAGCTACGTGCGTTCTCTCATTTCAGGGATACCTCGTTTAGAGCCAGGGTGGCATTAGTATCGGCTGAATGGAGTAAGTAGCACAAGTATGAGTCTACTACATACTTGTGTTATTTGCTGTATAGACTCTCGGTCCGTAAGAAACTGTATCCGCGATTTGTCTTAACTGCTGGTAATAAGAGAGCTGGTTCTCTTCTCGCTCAATAGCTAAATGTAGCCGGCCAATCAACGAGGAAACACAGCCAGCGTCCTTGGTACTGTACTGCGGAAAGTAGGATTAAATGATATTTAAATTTTTTAGATTTAATTTTTTTTATTATTGTAAAAATATTGTATATTATGTTATTTAATATTAAGTTCTATATATGGACTTCAACTTATGACTCATGTGTTATGTCATTGCCGCGCACACCTAGACACATACCGCATGTTTAATTTTTAATTTTAATAAAATCGTAACCGCAACCACGTTTCTGTTTGAATACTTTGAAAATCAAAAAATAAACTTTCATTGTGAGCTTGTTTGGTTTAGGCAGCAAAAGTAAAGTAATAAAAAACTTTGTTTGCGTTGTAGAAGTAATTTATTGCAGGAATATTGGCAGTGACTATGAGAGAGAACGTGTCGAAACATTTAATTTAGCCTTAATGGAAAGCTAAAGAATTCCAAAAAGGTTTATTTTGCTATGATTAATGTATAAAAGAAAAGTTATTGCTTTTAGTTTACTGCTAATTCAAAATAAATTAATGGTTTATTTTTCGATAATGATTAATGTTTGTGTTATGTTGTGTATTATAGACCAGTTTTGACTACTAAATATATAAATAAATGTAGATATAGGTACTGAATTATATAATTAATTGTTTCTAACAATATGTTTCAGTTTACACTTTAAACTTGTGAGTAAGTAATGATTTCTTATATTTACGCGAACACTACACATTTTTAAATAAAACTAATTTTACGGATTTTATCGCGTATATTAACTTATTTTATATTCCCGACGTTTCGGGTGCTTTCCAGCACCCGTGGTCACGGGGGACTGAGTTGTTTGACGTCCTGTTGTCATAGTTAGCCCGGCTACCTTCAGTTTTTTAATATTAATTTTTGGTTCGATTTACGCAGAATGAGCTTACAGTATCTTGAAGTCTAGCAGTGGAATACTTGGGTTTGGATTTGATTTTATTAATTATGGGACCCCAAGCAGATGGCAGCACCCATCCATCTTCTCTATTGAAATTAGGATGTTTTTTAATTTCAATAGCCTCGCGAATCATCCTTGGGAGGAATCGGTGTTCTTTTGCGAGGATTTGTGGTCTATCAAATCTAATGTAATGACGGGGACGATCCTGAACATGTTCACAAACTGCAGACTTCCCGATACGTCGGTGCTTCACGTCAGCTATATGTTCTTTAACGCGGGTTTTAATAGATCTTTTTGTTTGTTCTATGTACGAGAGACCACATTCACAGTCCAGCTTGTACACTCCTGCATCTTGTAGAGGGGTATGACACTTGACGGATGGTAAAAATTGACCAATCTTCTTCAGCGGTTTGAAGTACGTTTTAATGGAAGCTCGCTTCAAGATGTAGCCAACCTTGTCTGTGACTCCTCTGACATAGGGTAGTACAGCAGGCACACGCTCGACTGTGGCTGGCTTCACTCGGTCACTGTGATGTAGGCGCGGGACCCGAAGCTTGTTGTCTTGCAGTACTTGCTCGACGTGTTGAAGCTCGGCGGCCAGATGTTTTCTGTCACAGATCCCTCGTGCTCTCTGAAACAAAGATTTTATTTTAAAGATTAAAGAACATATAGCTGACGTGAAGCACCGACGTATCGGGAAGTCTGCAGTTTGTGAACATGTTCAGGATCGTCCCCGTCATTACATTAGATTTGATAGACCACAAATCCTCGCAAAAGAACACCTATTCCTCCCAAGGATGATTCGCGAGGCTATTGAAATTAAAAAACATCCTAATTTCAATAGAGAAGATGGATGGGTGCTGCCATCTGCTTGGGATCCCATAAATTATAAAATCAAATCCAAACCCAAGTATAACACTGCTAGACTTCAAGATACTGTAAGCTCATTCTGCGTAAATCGAATCAAAAATTAATATTAAAAAACTGAAGGTAGCCGGGCTAACTATGACAACAGGACGTCAAACAACTCAGTCTCCCGTGACCACGGGTGCTGGAAAGCACCCGAAACGTCGGAAATATAAAAATAAGTTAATATACGCGATAAAATCCGTAAAATTAGTTTTATTTAAAAATGTGCAGTGTTCGTGTATATATAAGAAATCATTATGTAAACCAGTACGGACTGGTAATTGCAAATAAAATTCGCCGATTAGAAGATCTCATGACCAAGCGCGCAAGATATGTAACATCATTGAATTTTCTGAAAAGGTGCCGCGACCACCAGCTCATTCCTACGTGCGTCAAAATATCTACTAAAAAGGACATTCGAGGAAGCGCTAAGATCTTAAATCAGGCAAGTAAAAAGTTGCTACGAACGGTGATTCAGCAAAAACGGTTCGATTTACAAATCATAAATAATACCATAGACAATTTGTCCAGTGAGTTAAAGACAGTTTTAACGACATTTGATTTTAATAATTGCATTGAAACTTTAAACAAACGCGAAATATCGAAATATAATGAATGCAAAGACAAACAAATAGAAAAATACCAAAAATTAACTATCAAATCAAATGCCAAACATCCATGTCAACGTAGAAACGAAACGCAACAACCGTTGACCACAGACGCAAACAATAAACAACGCACGGTCTATAATTTGTCAAAAGAAACACTGGACGAACCTACAATAAAAGTATTGTCGAAAGGCTTAAATTTTACTATAACGCCGCAAAAAATCCCGTACGAGGAAATTATCTGTAGTGTTGAGGATTGTCTGTTTAAGAATAATATAGGTAAAGAGGATTTAGAGGCTATACGTCAAGACATTTCGTCCTTGTTACGTCGAAGTTCAGCCCCGAAACTAAATCTTCCCAAAGACGAATTTAAGCGTTGTACAACTTACGCAACAGACCCGACCTCACGATTCTCCGCGCGGATAAAGGAAATGCTACGGTAATAATGGACACGTCAGAGTATAATTTCAAAATACAACAACTTTTATCGGACGTAAGTACATACAAAAAGATCAAAATAGACCCTACAACTAATACACTCAAAACAACTACTGATTTAATAAAGAAATACTCCGAAAAATTAGATCTTGACGTGAATTCGACAATACCATCATGTGCCAAACCACCGAGGTTGTATGGGTTACCGAAAATACACAAACCAAACGCTCCACTACGTCCTATAGTAAGCCAGATCGATTCACCAACTTATAAGTTGGCTCAACACTTGGCAAAAATACTGTCACCACTAAGAGGACATACCAGAGCACACACAAATGATTCATACCAATTTGTTAGTGAGATTAAAGACCTACATCTCGCTGACAATGAAACTATGGTCAGTTTTGATGTTCAGTCACTATTCACATGCCTACCTATTGAAGACTGCATCTCAATTGTTACTAGAAAGCTAGAAGATAACAACATGCCTACAGAATATGCAGTATTACTCAAACACTGCCTCCCATCTGGCTATTTATTGTGTAAAGAAGAGTTCTACATGCAAGTAGACGGAGTGGCAATGGGCTCACCTGTATCTCCCGTAGTCGCCGACATATTCATGGAGGACTTTGAGGAGAAAGCCCTTCTTACTGCTCCTGTAAATCCAAGATTCTACAAGCGGTACGTAGACGATACTTTCACAATTTTACCATCTGACAAAGTAACTGCATTTTTAAACCACCTTAATTCCATAAACCCTAAAATACAATTTACAATGGAGTTAAAGGCAAACAATACTTTAGCTTTTCTAGATGTTTTAGTCATCCGAAATCCTGATAACACTATTGGTCATACTGTGTACAGAAAAAATACCCATACCAACCGATATTTAAATGGTGAATCTCACCATCATCCTTCACAGTTAGCTACCGTGGGAAAATCTTTGTTTCAGAGAGCACGAGGGATCTGTGACAGAAAACATCTGGCCGCCGAGCTTCAACACGTCGAGCAAGTACTGCAAGACAACAAGCTTCGGGTCCCGCGCCTACATCACAGTGACCGAGTGAAGCCAGCCACAGTCGAGCGTGTGCCTGCTGTACTACCCTATGTCAGAGGAGTCACAGACAAGGTTGGCTACATCTTGAAGCGAGCTTCCATTAAAACGTACTTCAAGCCGCTGAAGAAGATTGGTCAATTTTTACCATACGTCAAGTGTCATATCCCTCTACAAGATGCAGGAGTGTACAAGCTGGATTGTGAATGTGGTCTCTCGTACATAGGACAAACAAAAAGATCTATTAAAACCCGCGTTAAAGAACATATAGCTGACGTGAAGCACCGACGTATCGGGAAGTCTGCAGTTTGTGAACATGTTCAGGATCGTCCCCGTCATTACATTAGATTTGATAGACCACAAATCCTCGCAAAAGAACACCGATTCCTCCCAAGGATGATTCGCGAGGCTATTGAAATTAAAAAACATCCTGATTTCAATAGAGAAGATGGATGGGTGCTGCCATCTGCCTGGGATCCCATAATTAATAAAATCAAATCCAAACCCAAGTATACCACTGCTAGAATTCAAGATACTGTAAGCTCATTCTGCGTAAATCGAATCAAAAATTAATATTAAAAAACTGAAGGTAGCCGGGCTAACTATGACAACAGGACGTCAAACAACTCAGTCCCCCGTGACCACGGGTGCTGGAAAGCACCCGAAACGTCGGGAATATAAAATAAGTTAATATACGCGATAAAATCCGTAAAATTAGTTTTATTTAAAAATTGTGAGTAAGTTTTCGTCGAAATATTATTGCATGCTTCGAAGTATTTCCAGAGATAATATAAAATAAAAAATGTTGTACAACCGACTTCAATATAAATTATTAAGAATAACTCTAAAAACTATGGGTCAGACCTTGATGAAATTTATACGGGACTACATGTGAAGCACCAGCTTTCAAATAAAAAGAATCATCGAAATCGGTCAACCCAGTAATAAGTTAAGAGGTAACACACATAAAAAAACATACAGTCGAATTGAGTACAGTCTCCTTTTTGGAAGTCGGTAGAAAAATTAAATGGATTTTTACAATAATTGCTGTTTTTCTGTATAATTATATAAATAATTTTTATTAATATGCTTTTTTAACAAAAACGACGATATATACCTATATATAAAATCTGAAATAAAGCATAATATATTCCAACCTTTAATTTCTGATGCGAGTGGTCTTGTTGTAAATTGTAATAATATATATGCCATTTTCCTTCACCTTCCCAAAGAAATATAAATACATTTTGTGATAGATCGATCTCTGTCTTGCATCGTTAGTTCTGTAAGATCTGTAATCTTGATTGGAGATATAAATATAAATATCTTTCGTAATAATAATGACCTTAACAGCAGTAAATATTTAGATTTAATAGCGCACCATGGACTTTTAGCAGCTCATGTTCTCCCCACTCCTAACGAAAGTTGTATTGACCATGTAATGTTGCAAGCATGCTCCGATAGTGTTCTATATAGATATATCTATTTAGATAGATCTAAAACCACTACTCTCCTTACGATAATTGTTTTAATAATGGACCATCCACCAATATACGTGGTAGAGCCATGTTGCAGCTATATTAATAGTATAGTTGTAGCACGAATGGGTGGGCTCGACCGGGGAAGAACCACGCTCTCACAGAATATCAACGTAAAATAGCAGCTTTAATGCTGCTGTGTTTTGTATGGTGAGTGTAGAGAACCGGAGATACTGGAAAAGGGGCATTCTATCTTAGTCCTCACGGCTGACAACGCATCTGCATTTTATTTCGCAAACGAGGATAGATGTAGATGTCTACGGGCCACAGCAACCGCTTACCATCAGGTGGACAGTGTGCTCGTTTGTCACCCTATCCTTTAAAAAAATACTGGATTTTTCACGGTGTTATTGCGAAATTCATACCTTTGGCCAAATCTTTTATTGTCGCGGTAAGGGATTCACTTATCGCTATACCATTTTTTGATAAAAATAATAACTGCCCTTGAACGTCCCGCAGTTTTTGTATGAATTAAATTCGTTTAATTCCCGAAAAGGTGATAAATTAACCCGCGCCAATTTACGTCAATTTAGTTGCTTGTATTAAGCATTAATCGCCAAACTCATTATTTTGTTGGATTTTGGTACGGATATACATTTTTATGTTAGGGATTATCGAATTCTTATAAAATGACAAGGTAAGAAAAATCAGTAAGAGGCATTAGCCAAGAGGCGCTAGAAAACGGCGCACGAGGTGCACGTGACCCGAATTTAAAGCTTTCAGGTCACGTATTGTTATATGCTGCGTATCTACATGCATTACTTCTTTTATGCCTTCAGCGATTTTACAACAAGCACGAAAGCAATTTTTGGATAATTTTGTTCTCTTTCTTTTAACGATTAGTGTGCCATGACTGTTTGCTCGGTATATAAGCTAAGTGCTGTAGCTACGCTGAATAAATTACACGTAGTTTATCTGAAGATATGGTATTCGCTTTTTAATAAAATAATAAAAGCTAATGCTCCGCGTGTATCCATATATCTCTACATCTATCTATCTACGAGTATGTAACGGAATCTTTTAAAGTAATTTTTCACCAATCCTCCTCCTAACTTCGCTCTTTGTCGCAACTTAACTAATTAAACGTTGATAAACATAAACACTTGACAGCATACAGGCATCTGAACAGACAGATCTCCAAATGCATGCGGCGGGACTTACGCAACTTCAATACAGCTCGTATTGAAGAAGCGATCGAGCGGAACCAAGGCTCCAAAGTCTTTGCCAGAGATCTGTCTGCCAGAAACAGCCACCTGTCAAAGCTGAAGACAGGATGTGGCAGCATCGTTTCAGGTGTGGGACACCTGAGATTTTGAGTGAGATTGAGAGGTTCTATGGGCAGCTGTACACGTCATCGTTGGAGCCACACGCAAGTGTGAGTAACGATCCAAGAGCGAGTCTCATCCGACACTATTCCGAAGATATCCCGGACGTCAGTCTGAGCGAGATTAGAATGGCTCTCCAGCACCTTAAAAACGGTAAGGCCCCAGGCGAGGATGGAATTACAGCGGAGCTTCTGAAAGCGGGTGGAAGACCGGTACTTGAAGTCCTTCAGAAGCTCTTTAATTCCGTCCTCCATGGTGGCATTACACCGGAGGCGTGGAGCAGAAGTGCGGTGGTCTTGTTCTTCAAGAAAGGTGACAACGCTCTATTGAAGAACTACAGACCGATTTCCCTTCTGAGCCGCGTCTACGTGCTGTTTTCGAGAGTCATTTCGAATCGTCTCGCGCGCAGACTTGACGACTTCCAGCCTCCCGAACAAGCCGGTTACCGAAAGGGCTTTAGCACCATAGACCACATACATACCTTTCGAGAAATTGTACAGAAGTCCGAAGAGTACAATTTGCCACTATGTCTGGCGTATGTGGACTATGAGAAAGCCTTTGATTCCGTCGAAATTTGGGCGGTGCTGCAGTCCCTTCAGCGGTGCCAAGTTGACTGTCGGTATATCGAAGTGTTGAAGTGCTTGTACAGTAGGGCTACGATGGCTATCCGAGTACAGAACCAGAGTACGAAACCTATCCAATTGCAGAGAGGTGTAAGACAGGGTGACGTCATATCCCCGAAACTCTTCACCGCTGCATTGGAAGACGTTTTCAAGCTTCTGGACTGGAAAGGATACGGTATCAACATCAATGGTGAGTACATCACTCACCTTCGATTTGCCGACGATATAGCCCTTATGGCAGAATCGCTGGTCCAACTTCCAACCGAGAGGTCAATCGACGGATTCAACTCGGCTGGGCAGCGTTCGGGAAGCTACGACACATCTTCTCGTCAGACATACCTCAAAACCTGAAAACGAAATTGTACAACCAGTGCGTGTTGCCAGTGATGACTTACGGAACTGAGACGTGGTCCTTCACTGCTGGCCGTATGAGGAAGCTCAAGGTCGCTCAGCGAGCTATGGAGAGGGCTATGCTCGGAGTTTCTCTGCGTGATAAACTTAGGAATGAGAATATCCGCAGTAGAACCAGAGTAACCGACATAGCCCAACGGATTAGTAAGCTGAAGTGGCAGTGGGTCGGCCATATAGCTCGAAGAACCGACAACCGATGGGGAAGAAGGTTCTCGAGTGGCAGCCTCGTACCGGTAGGCGAGGTGTAGGGCGTCCCCTCACGAGATGGAGTGACGACCTGGTAAGACATGCAGGAAGTCGATGGATGCAGGTGGCTCAGGACCGTGCTTTGTGGCATTCTTTGGGGCAGGCCTATGTTCAGCAGTGGACTTGTGAAGGGCTGAAATGATGAAACATAAACAAGTAATTTTGTATGTTTGCATGTATGTTTTTATGTATTTATATGAAATATATAAAATTTTAATTTTCACTACCAGGTGATCCAATCATTGATAATTTAACATATTTGGGAGTGCTACTTACATTACTCATATAATTCTTAAGAAAAATATATGTGTTAGTTATGAATTCTTCTACATAATTTCTGAATTTTATAAATAACAATCATATTATTATTATTATTTTCTTTGAAACTAAAGCTGAAAATATGTTGGTTGGTAAATGGTTTAAATTGAGTACAATATAAAATTTCAACATTCCATAATATTTCATTTTCTATTCAACGAAATAAGGTCGAACGTCGCAATTTAAAAGTTACGGTTTTAACACTTGGGCCAGCTTAGGCGAAAAGTCTGCAATCTTTTTTGTTTTTATTATCGTAGTAGAAAACTACCCTCGAACAATAACAGTCAACAGACGTCTTTGTTTAAAGACAATGGCAGAGAATTGCGTCTTTTTAGTATGATAGGTTCACTTTACGATTAGGGAATTGTGACAATTCTTTTTCAGCATAGAGCTGAATGAAAATTCTGTAATAAAAATAAAATTTATCCCGTATTTATTATATGTATCTATTTTTTCTATAAAACTACAGTTATAAATTAACTTACATTCCACCTGGTAGTGACTTCTGCAGTCCATGGACACCTGCAGCCAAATTTAAACAAGGAAGACTATGCAAGGCAGATGCGTTGTACTCATATCACCTCTGAGGATTAAGACGGAATGCCTCACAGCTTAATTATAGGTAAGAGAGCGACCCAGATAGACTCCTTAGCAGGAAAGACTGGCTCTTTCTAGCAGACAGATCTCTGGCAAAGACTTTGGAGTCATGGTTTCGCTCGATCACTTCTTCAATACGAGCTGTGTTGAAGTTGCATAAGCCGCGCCGCATGCATTTGGAGATCTTTGTTCAATTGCCTGTACACTGTAAAATCTGCTGAAGACTGCAGCTTCATTTACCGTCTAACAGCAATGAGATTAAGAGGGTGGTCGGAGAGTTTTGGTGTTCTTCTGCGGCGGGTCGTGCAAAACTTAGCTCCGACCGCATGGACAGTTTCCACGAGCTTGTGCATTCATATCGTCCACTGCATTGCAATCTTCTAGGCACTGAAAAAACGATTTTGTAGCTCGAGTTGAAAATTTTCTGGACTTTCGATTTGTGCACGCGGGGGACGGAGCGTTGACTTCATTAGACGTGACCTCTCTAACTTACCGTTTAGGTTCAGTGTGTCTCCCACCGGTTTTCACCCTCACGATCACTGAGACATCACTGAACAGTTGCCGTCTAGTCGTCATAATGAAGTCAATCTCATTTTTTGTTGAACCGTTGGGGCTCGGCCAGGCCAGCTTCCTGTGGGGCTGCTTCTGGAAGAAAGAGTTCATCATAAAGAGTCCCTCTTTCTCCATGAAATCGGCCAGCTGCTAGCCCCTTGTGTTACGTTGCCCTGTTCCGAATTTCCCTATCTCCTCACCGTTCTCTTCTGTGCCTAGTTTTGCGTTGAAATCTCCCATTAACACCGTATATTGGGTTTTGGAGGAATGCATGGCTTTAGATATATGCATTTCCTCCACCTCCTTATTGGGATGTGCCAAGGTTGGTGCGTAATCCTGTATGACCTTCAGCGAATACCGTTTGGTGATTGTGAGTATAAGGTACGCAACCCCCGTCGACACACTTCCAATCTTTACAACGTTGTCAATGAGAGACTTGTGGACGATAAATTCGACAACTATTTGGGACACG